CATTGTGAAGCGCATTGTTCACCACTGACTACAGATGGGCAGCCACTTCTTGCCTCATCGTGCATGTCAGTTCGTCCATCTTTAAACATGCAATACCATTGACGTACGACACCTTCACTCATCACGTTTGGTCCATAAACATTAGAGTTTGCGATGAATCGCAGCTGCTAATTTGCACACAAGAATCGTATCACTGCATGCACTTCACATTTGGTGGGATTTTCTATGGCAGGGCTCATTTTCAATTGATCTAGCAAACGAGTCAACCGCAACACAACTTTCTCCTTCCACTCCTCACTGTCTACTGAACTATTGCGCACGGCACCATAGGACGGCCATCATTATCCCCGCCTATCTCTCGCACACACTCAAACAGAGGTGTATTTCCGAATTGCCCTTGTACTTTATGGAAGTCAGAGTCATATTGCCTTAATTGGGATAAGAGCACCTGGACTCTTTTCTTCAGCTTTGGATTTTGAGGACCCCAGCTTCCCCTACCCTTCTGGCATCTATGATCACTAATTACACCAATAAACATGAAATCTGAAAAAACTGCAGAAATGGCATTATTGGAAGTTCAAGAACTGCCAACCACCTGATAACCTTCGGGACAACTGCTTATTTCCTGTGAAGGCTCCAGGCATTATTTTCCACTAAATGCTATTCAAGTCCATGACAGTTATTTGCACTGCTATAATCCTGACTTGTTTTAATTGACGCAGTCCTGGTTTTTTTGATATGACATAAAACTATCACTTTTTTTTTTCTGGGCTACCACAGAAGGTCAACAGTTTTGAGTTCAGGGGCACTTGCTCCTAAGCATTTGCACAAGTCCAGTGAATATCAGACAGGAGTCACATCTACTAACCTGACCACTGTTGTGGTGATATTTCACACCAATATTTCCTCACTTTCAGAATGTCCTTAAGTAATATGCTATTACAATCGGCCCCATAAATAGCATATCTTGATGACTCATTGATTGTGTCTATTACATAATTCAGAAGCTCCTGACATTTTATTCTGGGGGCTCCTGTGTAGAAACAAAAGATAAATATGAACTTTTAGCAAAACAGAAATAGTACCATGTATAAGTTAAATCTGAAAAGATCCACTATATCTGCAAAGCTTAAAGGAATCATGTTTTTTAGATGTATAATGGTAGGTTTATAATTATAAATTATAGATGTATAATTTAGGTTTATAATGTTTTATGGAATGGAGCTATATCATGTTCAAAATCTATTCAAATTACCCAAATAAAATAAAAACAATAGTTTTGCAACCTTTGTACCTCTTGTACCTTTGCAAAGATACAGTATAATTTTGGATTCATAATTTAACTGCATTAGAATTTTTAAAATGCTTAATATTTTATCTTAAAAACAAATAAATGGCAATCTAGACATTCCAATTCTCCAAACTGAGAATACAGAAGGCAAAATCCAATTGAATTTTATTTTAATAATAATCACAAATGACATTCCTGCCAATTATTGCCACCCATCTTCCTGCAAAACTATATTTTGCCAAGCATAAAAAAGTGGAGCAGCTCCCAAACTGCCAAAAAGGCAAACAATAAATTAAATTCTTTCATTTAATTTATTACACCAGCTTTTTATCCACAGGATTTTCAATACATCATCTTACTACCAACACAATACACAAGGCAATTAACAGTCTAAAGTAAAATACAAGCAAATATAAATTATTACAACTGACACAATCTCCATTATTTATTATTATACAGATATTGTCTCAACCACAACTCTTTAAAGTCTTAAGTATTTTTACAGAAAAGACACTCACTTTTATTGGCACACATGATGAAATCCTTAACCAAACTACTGAGCTGTTTCATCTTTTTCTGACGTGTTGCTTGACTTGATGCAGAGGCATTTGATTTTGCTGCTCTGACACTCTCAACCTCTTTCTGAATATATTTCTGCAAAAACCTGCAAAAACAATAAAAATGTATTGTCAATAGATACATAAGCTATTTAAACTAAAATTCAATCACATATTTCAGTATACATTATTGTCCAATACTACCAGTTCCTTTATTATCAAAGTGCCATGTAATTCTCCACTGCCTGCACTTCGGCAAAATAACAAATCCACCTGATAACTAATCATAAATTAAGAAAGTGTCTTACCCACATTGCACTACATTTTTCAGGGTGAAGTATAGTTTTATACATGGTATTGGTTAAAAAAAAAGCATTGGTAATAAAGTTTCAAGCAACCAGGGAATGAGACTAAGAAAAATGAGAGATGATCTAGTAATCTGAATACAGGTAGCCCTTAACACAGTGGTTCTCAACCTTTCTAATGCCGTGACCCCATAATACAGTTCCCCATGTTGTGGTGACCCCCAAGTGGGTGTGGCCACCAATAAGAGGGAGTAGGACAGCTAGGGAAAAGGGAACAAAATGGTGGACAGCATGGTTTGGCGACCCCCATGAAATGGTCGTTCGACCCCAAATGGGGTCCCGACCCACAGGTTGAGAACCACTGCCTTAACATATGACCATAATGGAGCCTGCCCATTATGACTGCATGTCTTGAGAGTGGTTAAGCAAAATGGCCTAACAACCCTCACTTCCTGTTCTCCCTATTATTCCATTAAATGAAGGTGCAGATCATTAAGTGAAGAATGAGGGTCTCAGGATGGAGAAGGCTCTCCCGAAACACTATGCTCCACTTCCTGCTAATTGGGTCTCCACAGGCCTTCTCCTCCCCTATCAGGTCTCTGAAGGCCTTTTCCCCCTTCCCACTGGGTCCCTACAGATGTTAGACCTGATTCCCACCCTACCACAGAATTAAATCACTTAATCTGTTCATTTGGGGAGGAACTGTTGGAAATTTCCCTTAATGAGAAATGTGTATGTGTGCATGTGTTTTTAGACCCACCTACTGCAACTGAGGGCATCCATCTTAATTTTTTTTTCTATTTTACTTTGTTTAAGTTTTTATTCCTTTTTATTTTGATGTTTTATTTCTCTGTCTTTTATTGTATGCTGCACACAGTTCTTTGGGATCAAGATAAGCTTTAAAACCATTGTTAATAATCTTTGAATTCTGGCAGAAGTGGTCTAAATAATTGCTTCCAACTCTATTATTTTATTATTTCTTTATATAAGGCGGGGAGGGGGGACTGTTTGTTGTGATATACAATAAATACCTTACCTAAATACAGTATCCCAGTTTATCTGTTTTCCGTGTTTGGAATCAGAATTCCGATCCAGCTGCTGAACTGTTTCTGGATCACAGATAAGATGCTTGAACTTCTCAATTTCCTTCTGTATTTGTACAGAAACACAAAAAATATGTAATATTCCCTTACTGCAATATCATATTTCTGAAAAGGAATTAAGCTTACCTTTCTTTCCATAGCTTTGTCACTTCCAAGCTGATGACAGCAAGCCAACAGATTATGAATTGCAAGATTCATGGTTCAATCAATCTGTTATGAGTGCACATCCAATATGAACCTAAGTTTGTAAAATGTCAGTAAGGTTAACAACAAAATGTAAGAACTTCACTGAATTAACCCATTTAAAATTTTTGAGCTAGCAAAAAGCATTGCTTTCAAAATATACATCTATCTTTTCACCAAGTTGATTTTCTTCAAACAGGAGAGTATTTTCACCTATATCATGATAACCTATTTCATATAAGTTAAATAATTAAATTAATTAAAAAAATAAATATTTAAAGTATTTTTATCTTAGGAATGATTATTTCTGGTTATTTGATAGATTCTGGTCAACAGACAAACCCTTAGATTTGTATATATTCTTAAGAACCTCTTTTATATATAATGGTACAATTTGTATAAATGTGAGCAAACATGATTTGTCATATTACAAATCTGTCACTCTAGGTTGTAATGATTGTTGAAATCGAAGAGATGGACAAGGGTCAGAAGAAGCCAAATTTGGGCCAAGTGACTTGAACAAAAGGACTGCACAAATTGATGGCACTGAAAAGCATATACCTATTGCTTTGATTAATAAAAAGAATTAAGCTTTTTATTAATCAAACATTTTGAGTGTCATTTTTATGTGTCGTCATTTGTTCTTGTTTTTTCACCTGTTTATGCTTCTTTTCCTAGCACTCTAAGCAAATATGTAGCATGCCACCCTATATATAATTTAACCTTAAATCCCTGGAATTCAGCACTTTATACAGAAGCTATTTAAAATTGCCATGTTTCATCCTGCTCTCCAAGCCAGGAGTAGTTGGAATTCCAAGCCCTGTAGTTTTCTTGGCATGTTTTTTTCAGAAGTGTTTTGCTATTGCCATCTTCCTAAAGCTGAGAAAGTGACAAGTTCAAGGTCACTCAGCTAAGGCTGGACTAGAATTCACGGTTTCCAGAGTTCTAGCCTGAAGCCTTAATCATTTTACACCAAGTCATCCTGAATTACAATTCCAAATCATCCTTTTACGACTGTGCCTGTCAGGCTGGGATGATGGGAGTTGCACTCCCACAAGATGTGGAGAAGGCTAGGTTGGGGGAGAGAAAGTGAGCTATTGCTTCGTCTGAGGAGAGAGAAAACAAAAACGAAAACTGTTTTCATTCTCCTGAGGGGAGGGGGGGAGAGATAGACACACACAGAGAGGGAAAGACAGAGAAATTAAGAGAAATAGAGGGAGAGATATGGGGGGGAAGAGAGAGAAAGACGAAACCGAGTAGGCGGCAAAAGAGGAACGCGAAAATTGTCAAGGGAGGTTCGCGCGGGAAAGCGAAGCGCGGACCTGAACGTCACCCGCGAGGGTTCGGGGTCTCGTGCGACTCCGGCCACCGTTCGCTCTGGCCCATCAGGCGCGCGCTCGGGTCATTCTTAACTCTCCCATCGCGCACGTGGCCTCAAGGAGGTTTTTTTAAAAAAAAAAAAAAGCCACGGAGAAGCGGGAAACATTTCACCCCTTTCCCACCCGGAAGCGGAAAAGCGTTTGTTGTGGCTCTCGGCTCGGAAGTCTCGAAGCGAGGGGGCGGGTTTGGGCTTCTGCGCTCGCTCTCGGAGGGGAGGTTTGGGCGCCTTTCTGAGTTGAGAAATCGGGGAGGGGGAGAGAGAAGCCGTCGCCCTGCTGGAAGTGGGTCACGGTCGCTCTCGCCCCGCCGGCGGGTGAGGTGACGGAATCCTGTTCCCGTTTTCCCTCACCATGTTACTGCCGTCTGACGTGGCCCGTCTGGTCCTAGGTAAGCGCGGAGAGGGACCGGGGCCAAAGGAAGGCGACCCACTTCCCTTTCATTTTACCCTACTTCATCCAGTAGGCTAGCCCGTCAGGAGCTGAATTGTTGATTTATTCAGTTAACCCCCAGTTTTATGGATTCGCACGACCCCCTGGACCGCAATGCTGACCCCGCGGCCTGAGTTCGCCCAACGGGTTAGAGTCTAGACTGAAAAGTGAGCTGATTCGGGGTTCAGCGTGTCGTGGGGAGACGGGCAGCGCCGGTGTGGGAGTGGCAGACCATTGTAAGAGAGACCCCGCCGCCGTTTCTTCAAAGAAAGGACAGGGAACTTTTCCGAGGCGCCCGGCCCGTCTGCTCAGAATCGCTCCGAGGGTGGTTGACGTTTCGCGCTCTTCTCCCTCCCGAACTTGTTTCCCCGGAGCCCCGTCTTCCAGTAGCCGGCGTGGCTGTGGATCTGTTTTCCTTGCCAAGCCTGACTCGTCCTTAAAGCCCGACATGGTTTTGCATCGTTTGGTGCCCAACCATATTGAGTTTGAGGAGTTGGTTCTTCTTCTTTATATACAGGTAGTCCTCGACTTAACAACAGTTCATTTAGTGACTGAAGTTACAACGCCACTGAAAAAAATAACTTATGACCATTTTTCACACTTAATGATGCTTACAGCATCCCCATGGTCATGTGATTTACATTTGGATGCTTGACAACTGGTTCATATTTATGAAAATTGCAGTGTCCTGAGGTCACGTGATCATCTTTTGCAATCTTCTGACAAGCAAAGTCAATGGGGAAGCCAGATTCTCTTAACAACCATGCTACTAACTTAACACTGCACTGATTCTCTTAATAAATGTGGTAAGAGAAGTTGTAAAATGGGGAAAACTCACTTTACAAATTTCTTGCTTAGCAACATACATTTTGGGCTCCATTATGGTCATAAGTTGAGGACTACCTGTAATATGCCGTTCCAAATCACTTTCATTGTGAGATATTAGAGCTGTGCAGTCCCCTGTGGCTTAACTTTCACATGTTCATTTGTATATGGACGTATTGTGGAGAAGATTCCAGTATAGGTAGTCCGCGATTTCAGTTACAATGGAACTGAAAAAAGACTTATCACCTTTTTTCACATTTATGACCATTGCAGAATCATGGTTACATGATCAAAATGCAGAGATGTCAACTGGCTCATATTTATGACAGTTGCAGTGTCCTGGGGTCATATGGTCACCTTTTGCAACTTTCTGTTGACGACTGCTTGTATTAGAAACTGGATGCCTTTAAATCCCCATTTTCCAGAAAGTGAAAATAAAGTATTTCTTGCACAGATATCCTGTTTGCAAGCCTCTTAGAGGTAGGCTCTTGATGGAATAATTAAAGCTTTGGCATAATTGAGCACAGCTCTGTTGCTATTCTTGTATTCCTATAGGAAAGAAAATAAGATATGAGATCCCTTTCCATCCCTCCTCTTGAAATCTTATTTTTTATTATTTGAAGGAAAAAAGGACAAAGATCTTTCACCATACAACAATCAATATGCAGGCAATTAGTCTGAAGAATTAGTCTGTGTATAAAATAGTAGATGCAAGTTTCACGTTGAATAGAGACAGCTAAATAGCTGAAATATTTTTTTATATTTTGGGACATTTGCATTGTTCAATATTGTTTGTTTTCTTTTGTCTAATTAAGGCAGTATATCTCCACCACAAAGATTTTGAATTTATGGCTAAATTATGTAGAATCCATTTGTTGTTTTATTGGGCTATGCTTCTTTTTGTAGTATTTCTGTAACTGTTGGCAGTCCACTGTCAGCAGAAAGATAATTTTAAAAAGGCTATAAATAATATTTTAACAGATTAGAATTTATGCTATGACACACATCTTTCAGAAAATATAACACTGTGCATGTGTACAAAAGATAATCCATGTATAACTTTATTCAAATGTTACTATAAGTTTTTGTATAGTTGTCACCGTCTGTTAAATGCAGAATCATTCAGAATCCACGTCTATCAAGTGAAGTGTTCTGTTTAATTTCACAACCTTAAATAATGCATAGTAGATTTGTTTACATTTAAAGGGAGAGTATTTCTGAAAACATACCATAAATTATTAAGTATATTGAATGTCACTTCCTATACCAGTGGTGGCAAACCTACAGCATGCGTGCCAGAGGCGGCACTCAGAGTCCTCTTGTGGGCACATGCGCCATGCCCCAGAGATGGCAACAATCCCTTTTCAACCAGCCGCCTGCTAATTTGCCAAGATCCCACGTGGCCAGATGCATCCCAGTACGGCTGGTTTCCCTCCCCCCCGTCCCATCCCTCCTGGCCTTGCATTCTCTTCTTTTCCTGGGCACAACCCACTGCATCACCTCCTCAGCTGTCAGACAGCAGTCCAGCTCAGAGGTGGCTTCTCTGAACTGCTGGTGGCGGGTTGTAGAGCCCCAGAGTGCTCCGATTGAGGGGCCGGCAGGTTGTGGTGTCAGGCACAGTCACCTCAGCCCCTGCCTCACCTTGCCCTGTGACAATGGCACCCCCGCCCTGCCTCGCCTCACCCCGCAGGACAAGCCTCCTGCCCACCGCCCCACCTGACAGAGACCCCCTTCGATCTCCCCCAACCCTTCCCGGCCCCCACAGGCATCCCTCCACACGAGCAACAGCAACAGCGAGGTGACCATGCCCACCTTGGCCACACCTACCCAGTCTGCCATGACCAGCACAGCCACAACCACCCAGTGGGCCACGTCCACCTGGTGATAAATAAGTGGGTTTTGGGTTACAGTTTGGGTACTCGGTCTCTAAAAGATTCGCCATCACTGTCCTATACTAAGGCATTTGAAATTATTTACAAAATATAAAATACAGTAATAGTAGATTAAAACCTACCTAAACATATACTTTGTAGAAAGAAGGGGGAAAAGAAAACAAAGACAAAACTAATAAAAACTGATAACATTCATACACAGAAAGATGTTTGAAGTAATATGGGGAATACAATCATATATCTTTATTTACAATCAAACACATATACCTTGACATTAACAAATGTTTTATCTTTTCATAATGATACTTCTATTTTCAGGTTATTTACAACAAGAAAAGCTTTTAGCCACATGCAGAGCATTTATATTGGAAAGTTCAGATTTAAAAGAATATGCAGAGCACTGTACAGGGGAAGGCTTTGTTCCAGCCTGTTTACTGGTAAGTAGCATGCATTTTTAAAAGAGATTATTTCTTTTTATAATCTCTTAAATCTTTCAGGAATAATTAATATTTAATTAATTTATTAATTTATTGAATATCTAGGCTAACAAACTCCAAAATTACTCAGAGGGGCTTCACAGAAATAAAAGACAACACTTGTCTGAGGGAACAAAGCAACTTTGTTCCACATCATTGCCAATTTAAAGGGGCACATCCAAACCCAATAAACCAAGGCTTAGGGGAAAAGTCAAGTTTTTAGGGATCACTTGCAGATGGGCAAGGTGGGAGCTGTACAAATCTCTAAGGGGATGCTGTTTGAAGAAGCCAGTATGTTGACAGTGAAAATCCAATGACGTAGCATCAGAGATGAACATTGAGGGCTGGCAAACAGGAACAATCTTGCCATTGAATCAACCAACCCTGAAAGTGGCCCTTCCCCAAATTTCTTCCACATCACGTATAGAGAGTAAAGGAGAAGACTTTGTCACAAATATGTAAGAACCATTACTTAGGCAGAGAGGGCTGAAACGATCTTTTAATTCCTGGGAAGCACATAATATTGAAGCAGTTCACAATGCCCTCTGATTCTTTAGAGTATAGGAAGGAGAAGAGAGATAGCACAATCAGATTTGCAAGATTCTGTTATAATAGGGTATAGTTTTCATATGAAGTTGATTTTCTGGTCGTCTTCGTGTGGTTGATATCGTCTGCCTGTCGCTACTTGACACATACCTGCCCATCAAAGCTTCCGTTAACAAACTCTCCATTCCCCAAGGCCATCAGATTTTTCCAACTTGCACCTGTACCCTATGCTCAAGTTCCTGCCTCCACCAAGTACACCTGCCCTTAGGAGTCAGCAGTCAAGAGCAGTCAAGAGTCAGCCCATCACAAACAGATGAAAAGAATTCAGCAGACCAAAAACTAGGCCAGTCCTCAAAGAACCATGCAACAATGGGGTGGCCCGTCTTCCGCTGACCCCTCTTTGACACATTGCATCCCAGAAAGAACCAAGGCCCTGCCCAAGGGGCAGTTCGATGTTTTTAAATTCTTTGGGGAAGTGACATTTTTGCAGTGTTTTATGATATAGTTTAATATTGTTCTTTCTCTTCTCAGTCTCTCTTTGGAAAAAACTTAATTACCATATTGAATGAGTACATAGCAATGAAATCAAAAGGTAGGTGTGGGTAAAGGGTGGGAAATAGATGCCACATTTTATTGCTAGAATTGGTTTGCTTTGATTATATTAAGACAATATTGATCTTATACAATTAAATGTTTGTATTTATTGAATTGTAAGCAGCATTAAAATCATGCTTTTTAAATAAATTTAATATGACTTAAACATATAGGTAGCTCTCGACTTGTGACCACAGTTGGGACCAGAATTTCCATTACTAAGCAAGGCAGTTGTTAAATGAATGGTTGTAAGTCAAGGACTACCTGTAGTTATGAAGTAGAAAAAAGCATATCAATTAGAAAAATAAAATTAAATAACATTGATGAACTGTAAGCAGCAGAAAGGAAAAGAGCCTCAATAGCCATCATTAAATGAAAAATACTGAAATAAAGATCAAATATCAAATAAATTAGATATTAGAAATATAGTTTCTTGGTTGAGTAACAGTTGATACATAGATTTTCCACTTGTAATATCTTTAAATATTTTTCAAAATTATATATAATTTTTTTTAAAGAAGCAACGAATGACGTTCCAGCAATGATGTCATCTTTATGGAAGAAGTTAGATTATACACTTTCTCAGATCAGGTAATTTGAATTTAGTGCAAATAGTCTGTAAATCTGGCTCTGCTTATATTCCTGTTATTGAGAATTCAATTTTCACATGCTTTCTTGATACTGCAGTCTCTTTCATATTGATGTCCCATGGACAGCCCTAATTTGTTGAATGAAACCAGTGTGGTTCTTGTTAAGAGCGCAGTGGTGGGGAACAGGAGAAATTGCACTACTAACAAATGTGGCTCCATTAGCAGGAAAAAAAATGTAATTGGATTCTATCCATTATATTTTATAAAATTATCATCTTATCAAATAATATCCAAATGCTAAAATAACAACGCTATTGGGATTCATAAAAATTATTAAAACCTGAATATTTCAACAGGACTTTGAGGGGAATACAATATATTCAAGAGGCATTTTACTTGTATAAGAATATATATTTATTCAAGGTTATAATTGTTCAGTATATTAATATTTTTATTAATATTGTTTATTAATGATTATTTTTATTATTTGTTATTGCATTCAATAGCTACTTGTTTGAGTATCTGGAATGGTATATAAAGCTGCTAAATTAAATTAATAAACATTGTCATTTAAGTAAATTATTATGATCTTAGTTACAATAGTCTAACTGCTGTCATTTTTTAAAAATCCATGAGATAGATGTGTATATAATTGTCAAACAAAAAAACAGATCTTGATAACTGCAGAAGATCCGTATGTCATCAGTCAATAGTTTGATGCCTGCAGGATTGTAATTCCTATAGCCCTTGAAAAATAAATGTCTCATTTTAAATAATTGTACTGTAATCTTGCAAGATCACACTTTATGAGATTTCATATACTTCAATAAAATCACTCAAAATTTCAATTTTTTACAATTTTCATGTAGTTGTTAAGTATTGTACAATTTTGGCATTCTTGCACAAGGCTATATTGGTGAGATTGTTGTAAATTTTGCACAGTTTCAGCATTTTCCTATCTGAATATTGTGCATGATCACAGGATTGTGCTTGCTGTCAGGAACTGATTTTCCTATGTTATAAGATAGTGAAATAGCATAAAAAAATAAAACTGTCTACTGAAACTTATTTTTTTTGCATTTAATTCTGTACATGTGGTTGTCACATAAATATTCTACATTTAATATTTATATACTTATATGCTGCATTTTAACAGAAACTAACAATTCTATTTTTGCAGGAGCATGCAGAATTCAGGTGGATTTTCTGCTCATCAACGGAGTATGTATTTGAATCTATATTATATGGCTTGAGTTTACTATTAAAAGGCTTTCATACATTTAAATCATAGTAACTTAGAAATCAGTCTCATTACTTTCACTAAGACTTTGTTCTAATAAAGCATGCTATAGTGTAGCTGCTTTATATTGGACTATACAGTATAGATATTGTATACAAGATCCAGATGTTAGACATTTATTTACCAACACAGTCTCCCTAGCTTTTTTTTGATCATCTCTATGCAGTATCTTCCCATTTCTCTGTGAAAAAGCTTTCTAGTTTTCTACATTCATGAGGTGAGGAATGTTAAGACCTGAACATGCTTTCCCCCCCCCCAATAATAGTATCTAAAACCCTCCCTCTGGAAGTTAGATAAAGCCCCGTCTTATTAGCTTTCCAAAAGTTGATTAAAACAGCTTTTCCTGAGAGTATTTGAGGATAATTGACATGATCTAAGCTATTTAAATGACATGATAAAGGTACCTAAGGTCTTTATGGCTCCATATCATTACTGTATCATTATTTTCTTACTGTGGATATTTTAATATTGTATATTTAGATATTTTATTGCTGTTTACTACAGGCAGTCCTTGGAAATTGTGTTGACATACAAATTTAATGAATAAATAAGCAGCCAAACATACTTTCTCCACTTCTTGTCACAATAATAATCAGAAGGTGTGGGAGCAGAAAATACACCTGTGAATCAGATCTAGAAATAATCCAAAAAAATGCCATGTACTAATTCAGTAAATTTTCATTAGTTTTAGATTATATTATTCTAGAATGTGGCACACATTCCTAAACCTGAATATGTATCAAGACAGCATAGCATTCATTGATGCCAGTTATATTTGCCAACAGGAGAATAAATGCTTTCTGACTCAAAATTAGACATGAGTGAAGGAATAAAAAACAATAGCCTTTATTTCAATGCCAAAGCTGACTCTCTAAAACTTAGTTGACTCCTAAAATTATCTTGCATCTAATTTAGATGCATCTAATTATTTGTGTTTGTTTAATGATTTATGCAATTTTAAACTTTGTACTTTTGCTCAGAGTCATGTATATAAGATGGGTGATCATATAAATTTACCAAATAAATAATGAAAGTTTCCTTGTTCCTTTTTTAACATTTACTTAAAGGTCGCACTAGAAGTGCAATTGCAGATATGAAAAAGCAGAAGTGTCTTCAACAGTCAGCCTCTTCTAATTTAGGATCATCACCTGCAGTTTATCAGCCAGAACAACTAACATCCACTGCAATGACCGCCACACAGATTGTTCTTAAACCAATTATATCTTCAAGTCTGGCTCAGACAAGATTGAATCCTTCTTCTACATATCAGGGCCAAATTCAGGAAAGCCAAATTAACAGTAAGTTTAATGAACCGTTTCTCAAATAGTGGACACAAACGATAAGCAAACTGTTGAGAAAGTCATGTGACCATTACAGTGTAGAATTTCCTTTCTGCCACTAAATATAGGTAGTATAAAAATTGTTTCCGTTGAAAATAACATATGTTCATCCTTATGTACCAGGGCTTCCTGTGGGTTCATATTGTAGACATATTTTAGTTTACTATATGTGCTCCCTTCTGTTTCAAAATATCTAAATATTGCTATATAAAATTAAGGAAAAGCCTAAAGGAAATAGCCAACATTTTCTTTACTCAGTCAATTGTATTTTTCTGTCTGAAAATTGCACCTTTTTAAAAATCTTTATTTCCACTATTTGGTCTTTTATTGCATTCTCCTCTTTATCTCAGACATACTTTTCTGCATTGGGCCCACATCTATTTCAGATAATTGGCAACATCCCAGGAAATAAATAAATATAGATAGATAGATAGACAGACAGACAGTTAGTTAGTTAGTTTTAGGATTACTGGCCTATATGCTACTGTGCTAATAATCTTCAGCAACTGTCTAGCTCTATTTTACCAGCTAGCTAGGGTTTACAATTCCATTCTCTTTATCTTTTTTCCTACAGCTTCAACCTGTAATACCATCTTCTAGCCCTACATTTTCCAATAGAAAATTAAACTGCTGTATCCTCAGCTGGCACAAAATAGTTGCTTTCTCCTTATTTAGGTTTTTCACAGTCCCATCTTTGGATTAAATTCAAAAAGAGAGTGCTATGTTTTTTTCCAATCAGTGTCTCATTCATTTTCTTAGTACTGACAATCACGATTCATTATTGATACCCTAAACATCTTAAACAAATCAAAGCTTAATATAATTTTGTTCTTAACTGCATTTTTTAAAGCAGGTGATTCCCTCATTTTGGTTTCTGCACTCCAAGAGCGAAAGTTTAACTCAAGTGTATTGTCTCCAGGAAAAAGAAAAAGGTAACAGTTCCCAGCTTAAGTATTTATAGTGTATGTATCTCTTGCATATTCAGAATTTAGATCTTGTGCATAAGGAAAGGTGTGAAAAATGAGAAAAGGTATGTGGTTCTCGGTTCATATTAATCTCATTTTACATTTTCACTGACATGTTTATGAATTTGGATCAAGTCATTACATCTCACTTTTGCTTTCTTTCATTGTCCTCTTGGACTGCAAATTATGCATCTAATTCCATTACAATTCCACTGGATTCATTGATTCCTCTGAAACATGTTAATGTTGAACAAAATATGAAGCATGAATAGATAAGATAATGCAGGAGCCATGAAGTTCTAGCCTTAATTATATGTTCTTCCCATCTCATATTTAAAATATTTCAGTGACTCACAGAAGAAAAGGAGTACTGCATCATCAGGACCACAGTTGTCTAATTGTAGCTTACGAGAGTTTCCTGTAGTGGAAAAAGAAAGCTCTCCCATGGAAGAAGAAAGTGAGCAACTAGAAATTATTGATGGTGACCTTCCTGTAAGCCATATTTTTTAAAAACAAACTTAATATTTCTCTTTTTTACCTTCTTCCCCTTTTTGGTATAATTATCCCAGTTTTGTATATGTCTTGGTGTGCAGGGATTTTTCTCTTTTAAAAACTTTCCATATTTCCATGAATTACTATTTCTTTCTTTGGGGATAGGGTTTCTAAAGCATTTCGTGCAAATATTTTTAATCCTTAAGAGTGTAAATGCAAGGCTGTGGCCAAGATGAATAAATCCCCATTAGCTATATGGCAAGAAAATTATGGCAGAAGATGGTTGAGGGTTTTCAAGGTTGCTTTCATCATCCAAATTGCTGCATACAAATATGGTCTTGGGTCTTTTTCTTTTTAAGGAACTGCATCTACAGTTTAGAGGTATATAGAAAAATTAATAACTTTGGGACCAATTTCTAACTTTTTAAGATTTAGCTGATCATTGCACAAATGTTATATTTGATACCCCAATTAAGAAATTATACAGTATATGGGAATATAAATCTACCAGAGGGAAGAGATTATTAAGAGTGCTGGTGGGATTAATGTTTCTTTTGTAAGCCTTATGAAAATAAACTTGGACTATTTCAAATTTATTTCCTAGCAAATGATTATTGAAAATGCCAGAGAGAAAATTTTGAGCAACAAATGTCTTCAAGAGAAGCTAGCTGAAAATATTAACAAGTTCTTGGGCAGGTAATAGATCTCATTTAAAAAAAAAACTATTCAATCTTAGATTATTCCTGAATCATACTAAATATTTACACATTTTTCCCAGTGATGGCAATATGGCTCAGACAGTAAAACAGGCAGAAAGTGGTCCAACAATACAAGAGTCTTCGATTGATGAATTTCTTGGTCTTCAGGTAAGAGTCTGATTTTAATACATACAATATTTAGGTCTTATAATGGATAAATTAAGGCTTTGCTCAAAGAACTACATAAATTGCTAGGCTTCAGGTTGTGCATTTGTCTGCCTACTTTTTCTTCTTTTCTTAGTTCTGATTAAGATAGGCCCACAAAGAGCAGTACTCCTGTGGATCTGAAAATTTGATTGATAACCTATCTAGCTTTCAGGATATTTTTTGCTCACATAGAGAAAACTAATATGTTTTAACTGATATCTGATTATTTTTACACATAGCAAGGTGAAATTCACATGACGGAAGAAGCCATCCAGGAGATTCTAGAGCAAACAGAATCAGATCCAGCATTTCAAGGACTCTTTGATATATTTGATTTTGGTATGGATTATTCCTCACTTTAAATATCTTGAGTTTTTACAATGGTGAGTTATTTCCAGTCAACTGCATTGAACTCAGTGGGACTGAGAAGAAAAGTATTAAGAGTGTATGAAAGACTTGCACTTTGACTAAATCAACCCTTTGTGTCCACATATTTTAACAGAAAATATAAACAAATACTCTCAAGAACTTTAGCTTTCTAGTCTGATTGAACTCTTCCATTAAAAAGATACTATAGTTTTCCTGTCATATGATTATGAATGACAGGTTTTCACAGTTCCAGTGCAGATTCTCATACTTTCTCAGTTTTTCCCATTCTGCATTTTCCAAATGTATTTTGACTGCAAATTCTAGAATTCCAACATATGTTGCTAGAAATTACATAACTGGGGGATACTTGAAAAGATATTTTTTTACTGTTGGTCAGACATTTCTGTCATACAAACAAGGAGTTTCCATCCCATCAAAACAGTTGCATTAGGATTTCAGTTCATATTCAACTTAGAGTTGTTAGGATATCAAATAGATTATATTAAACCATCTACAAATATTGTTATTTTGGGCCTGACATAATTTCTAAAGAATGGTTTCAAGTGTGATGTTGATGACAAAAACCAAACCCTTAATGTAGTTAAGGAATTGATTTGGATTCTTCCACCTTATGTTGAAGTTAAGACTTTTTTTCTTATTTTAAATAGGTAAAACCAAGAATTGTAGAAATGTTTCTCAGGGTATTCCTACACAGAATGGAACAGATAATTCAATGTTGATGGATGAAGAAAACCTAGAAGCACTTGAAAGTTATATTGGCACTAAGGAACTTGGTAAGCACTTCTAAAATCCAGTATCTGGTTTCCTTGACATATAAGACTATTATTGATTTCAAGACTTACTATCATGGATGTTTGGAGTAATGCCTGTTATAAAATTGAATACTATCTGTGGGTTCAGAAGATTTCATAATGGCTATAATATGCTCAATTTGTCTTTGCTATGTAAAGGATAGTAATTCTTTTTGAAATACATAGAATTACCTTTTTGCAAATCCATATGAAGTCAGGCTGCAAACTGATGAATTGAAATTTGAGTTAAAATTAAGTTTCTATCTTCCTTTTAAAAACCCAAGGATTGTTTTAGACAGCCCGATAACTTCTCTTTAATATCTTTTTTCTTCTCCATAAATCAGCTTAGAATGCCTGCCATTGCTAAAATGTTGACTTTAGTGATAATATATCAGTATTTCCATAATTGGAGAAATAAATAAATTTGTTTCTGATTTGTCTTGAGGCAAAAGAAAGGAGAGTTCTTGTTTGCTTCATATGTATAGTTTTGTATGCATTATATCTAGTTGCTATATTTATTCATGTTTATGTAACCTCGATTATTTGTTACCAATTCTTGGACTTTCTTACAGAAAGAACCTTCTTCAGCTCCACTATATCCTTTTTTTAAAGATGCAGTGACATAACTGCACACAACATTTCAAATGCATTCAGTGAATGAGCAATGCGGATTTATCATATGTCCTTTGAAAAAGATAGGAATATTTTTTATCCTTTTCATATTATTCATCTTATCCTTTAGAGATTCTAGTTCAAGCTTTCATTCAAAATCAGAACACAGAAGGCTGAAAATAACTGTTAAGAAACATTATCCTGACAAAAATATACAGAAGATCTGTTCTAAATTTGTTGTATTTTTATATTGTAGATGATAATTCCCATGAGAGTCTATCATACACAGATGATCATTCAAAAGAAGCATGTGTCCTAAAGATTGATTGCAGTGAAAATGATTTGACTTTAGAACAGCATCTAAAGATACAAACTGTAGTGTCTGGAGAATTTTCTTCAGGCTCTGAAGTGAGAAGGCAAAGTGAATCAATTGAAATGGAGACACCTGACCAAAGAATCAAGCAGAAATCTACCTTTGAATCTGGGCAAAATCAGTTTCCTTGTACTGAGCACATCGTAGATTCTTATAACGAACAAGGAACTACCACAAGAAATTATAAAACTGATAAGGATGTATTATGTCAAGGTGTTCAGAACTTACTTGATTTGCCCTATAATCAGTTGGATACTTCACAAACAGCTTTATCCGATAGAACTGAATGTTGTTCTTTGCCAAATTATATGCTAGCCGAAAAAACAAATGCAAAGGTGCTTGCTCCCTTGAAATCTGATGAAAGTGAAACTGTGAACAAACTTAATGAAAATTGCAGCCATTCACAAGAAATTGCTGAAAATTTACAGCAGATAACAGACCAATCATCTGTGTTTCCTGTATCTGTCCAGCAAAACCGAAAGAGTCCTAGTTCTTCTGATTGTCAAGGCTCAGATAAATTGGAATCAGAACCTGCTGCAACACTTGTAGTTGAAGCATCCAATCCAAATGTAGTAGAGCTCCAGCTTGAAGTTGTTGGTACTTCCAATAGCCTTAATTTGGATGATCCAGCTACAGACCCAGAGCCTTGCTTAAAATATGGAAACCAGAAATTGGAGGAGTCTGAAATAACACAGGTAGAATTGCAAGAGCCATCATCTTCTACAAAAGCAGATGCCGCGTGCTTATTTTTAACTCCTGACAATGAGAGGCCTACAGGAACAACTGTTGAGGCCAATCCCACTACATCTAGTGAGTGTCATTCTCCACTTCCAGATCCAGCAGGTGAATCAAGTCCAGGAAACAAAGTTGCTGGGAGTGTTTCATCTAGTAATCAAGGCACTGGTGTAGATCCTTCTAATATTGTTTCCTTAAAAATTATTATTAGCGATGATCCATTCATTTCATCAGACACTGAATTAAACAATGCTGTTTCCAGCATCACGGGGGAGAATGTACCAACTATAATATTATCTTCTCCAGCTAAATCACCGTCCAAGATGACAGGAACATCTAAGTCTATAGCAGCCGAAGAGTCTGAAAGGCCTGGAGATTCAGCTTTGATGGAACAGAATCTTTTGGTTCTCAGATCTCAAGATTCTGTTGTGAGTTCACTCAACATACAGAACGAAGACTGTGCAGTATTTTCAGTTGCTGGCACAAGTAATGTTTCCAAGAATGGAGAATTTATTCAACTGATGCCAGCCACAAGCACATCTTTTGGCAGCTCCAACAGTGTTTATATTACCTCCTGTATATCTGAGCCAACAGCATTGAGTACTAACGTTACTCCATCAAATTTAGTCATGTTTCCTGGCAATTCAACGTCTCTTACATCACAGGTTCCAATGGCACCACAGTTACGGACACCTCCTAGGACAAACGGTTTGTTTGCCATGAACCCACCAATGTCTCCAAACTTTTCACAGGGTAATTATTTGTGGACAACTAAATGTTTGCTTGGGTTTTAAAACAGTTGGATTTTAATGTGGTGTTGGTTGAAGGTACTTTATAACAGTCAAATAAAATTGTAGAGACTGATAATAAAAAAATAAATCACATGGGCAAAATTTATATGATGGTGATTAAATCGTAGATGAGTTGCCACCAATTGCTGTAAGCGAATTGGTTTTATTGGCAATTGCTGAACTGGAATTTTAAGCATGATGACACCAATGTCCATTAGATTTTTAATAAAGAAAAAAAAATCAAAGTTTGGTGAGTAAATTAAGATTCTGACTTGGTCAAAATCAAGGACCATGAAGACTCAGTACTATGTTCACATAGAAAGATTCATATAGAAGAGAAGTCTATTCAAGCACTAAGGCTTCACTTTTTTTGTTTTCGCAACCACTAAACTTAAGCTGAAAGTCATATCCTGATTTAATAGAATAAGGTACAATAACAATATGTAAATGATTGCCTAATCCTTTAATCTCTACTATTTCTTGGTAGATAGTGCTCAATTGTTTTCAAATTGATAGTTTTCTTTAGCATTCTTCCAATATTTTTAAGAATTCTAATAGATCCTATATTTAAATATGCAATATTTTGACTAAGAAGCATATAATACAACTGAGGTATAATAAATACAGTACTGGTTAAAAGTTTGTGAACTCATTTGAAAGTTTTAATATTTCTGCAAAAGTATGACCTAAAACAATTTCCACCCAAATCCTAAAACTAGATAAAGAGAACCCAATTTAATGAATTAAAAACATACTTGTTCATTTATTTTTTGAAAAGCTGTACCTTTCACTGTAGCATCAAAACTAAAATTAGTTTATTTAGTTGGCACTATATTTTTTGCTGCTCACAGTTTGTTCTTTCTCTGGACTGCTTAAAGCCTATTTAGATATAACTTCTAAGGTTACTAGGTTAAATTTACTTAACTTCAATTATCAATATTTGTCTTCAGTATTTTCACTGACTTACATAGAAGAGTGAGAGAGAGACAGGGGAATGTAAAATTGCATGGTTCACATGGATACCTTAATTTTTTAGGGTCCGCAATTATAATTGCTTCTCCGGTACAGCCTGTATTGCAAGGAATGGTAGGAATGATCCCTATATCTATAATGGGGCAAAATGGAAATGCTATCTCAGATCCTTCCCGGCAGGTAAATGCTGTCTTTGGAAAATACTGTTTTTATTTTTTTGAGCTAAAGAAACTTTCAGAAAACTAATTTCTGTTCCTTTCACTTTTTAAAGATTCTGCATATGCCATTCCAGACTTCATTGAGCAGTGGAGGTGTTCCTAAGCTTCCTCTTCCTCCAAAATCTCATAGGATACCAAGAAGTAAATCAAATGGAGGTAAGCAGAGGGCATAGGCAGCACAAGGTTATAGTAGTTCACCTTGCTGAAGGTGAAGTGATAGTTCTGGGGAGCTTTTGTTCCATCCTGTAGTCGTTGAACCATTTATGAAATTTCCATCTTGTCTTCTATGCTTTTCAGGCTCTTTACTATTACTGAAGGAAGCTGTCAAAAGGTTTGGGCTAATGCAGTTAATGCTCAGTTCTATATCGTTTCTCTGTTTATCGTCTCTGTCCAAGGAAGTCTTGAATCAATGCTTTAAGGCAGTTTGGGATTTATAAGATTGACTATCGAAAGCATAGAAAAGTGCTGCATATGTGGAACTTAACATTCATGTATTTCCTGTTTTTGTACCAGGAAAACATTCAAGGCAGCCAGTGATGACCGGTGTGTGCGAGGACAAAATTCCCTGGGTGCTGAAATATGACTGCCCAAATGTTGAGAATTATATAATTGACTCTAGAGTATTTATACCATGCCACATACATTATTTGCAACTATATTCCCAAGTACTTATTTTAGTTCGGCATTAACCTATTTGAAACCCATACAGTTTCATCCACATCTTCAAATCTGCAAGAAGCCCTTCTCTCTTACTACTTCAGAGCAGTCAGGTTGGAGAGTAGGAGGGAATCATTTAGGAAAGCTGTAAGGTCTCATTTATTCTCTCACGTGATTTTTTTTTTATGTGCACTTCAATTTTTTAAAAGCCTTGAGAAATAAAAAGTGGGTTCTGTACTCAAAAAGGCATCCTAAAATATTTTGTGACTTAATGTAAAACTAATTGCTTCTTGAATGCTATTAGTAAAAATTATTTATTTTCCCTTAATCATTTAGGAAAGCCAGGGCTCAGTGGATCAGAACCTGTACAACATCCTGGTTCTCGAATTCAAAGGTCAGTTATTCTTAGTTTGTATTACTGCTGGACATGGAGAAATGTATCATTTTAACCAGCAGCCATTGTTTCAGTTTACAAAATTGCAGAATGTAATCATGGGAGTTACTGACAAACGTGAATTCATACAGTATTTCTTCATTTGACTGATTTGGAATTGGGCAAGCATTGCTGTGGGTGGGAGCGATTTATGACTTTCCCTGTGGGCTTTCCCATTGAGCTCTCTTGTGGGAAACAGTCAGAAAAGATCACAAGTGTTGATTACATGATGTAATCTTAAGCTGGGCATCTGAGTGCCCAGACCAGAATCACATGACCGATTGCTACAATGGCCAGAATTTCAAGAGTTCATTGTACGTCCATTTTTTCAGCAGCACTGTAATTGAAAAGTCACTAAATGAATGGGCATAAACCAAAGATTACCTGTAATTGCTTAGGCTAATATTCTTCATGCCAATCATTTTCAATGAGTGTTGCCACATACTCTGAGGAGACAGTTCTAACTGGTTTTATGTGCATGCTACAAATACAAATACGTACAGGTAAAACTTAAAATTAAAAGGGATAATAAATAAAAATAACATTCCTAAACAAAATATCCCAAAGATGCTATTCAAAAGGCAACTGGACTTTGATATTTTTTTTCCTTGAAAAAGTTTCACTTCAGAACTGAAAAAGCTTCTTGGATGAGAAGCAAAATGTTTTCAAAGGAAAAAAACAAAAAATTCCAGTTACCTTTTGGAAAAAGCACTCTTGGGACAACCATAACCTGGGTGATTGAGAATCTCCGTAGACATCTAAACAAAATATGTTGTTATGGATCCTTCTCTTCATTTCAGTAAGGCAAAATAATCATTTTTAAAATGTTAACATTTTATATCATCCTTAAATCCATTTATTAGAGGTGATTAAGATCAAACCAATTTAAGCACCAAGTGGTAGTTTTAGATACTAAAAATAATTAAAATAGAAATTTCATGCAAAATTGTCAAATTCTATTTTTTTCTTTCAGAATTGGAAACTCAGACAAAAATATTGGTGTGGATTTGAAAAAGAAACTAGAAACTGTGCCAGCTGATACTACAAGCCCAAGTTTCAAACAAAATGGCAGTCACAGAAGAGTGCTTTGCTTTGATACCACCCAAGCATCACAAAGAGAAAAGAATGAGAATTCTAAGCTCTGTCAAAGCTCTTCTAACACTGTGCTTTCATCAACAAAAACTCAACCTAGCAAGAGGGAACGTGAAAGAACTCTACCAAGAATTTTATGTAAGCCAGATATTACTAGCAAAAATCTGGCTGTAAAGGAAAGCCAACTGGAGAAAAAAGGTTCGGGTCCAGGACTAGCGTCGGATATATTAAGAAAGCAGACGGCAAATAAAGAGAATGAATTAGAAAGGAATATTGTCCCCCAAACCCAGGAGGTGGCAGCCTTATCCAACAGCCAACAAAGTCTTCATCATGAGAAGAATTGTTCCTCAGCCCAGGAAGTAACTAAAAAACAGGGGCTTCAACCAAATGCCAGCAATAAAAATGCAGGCATTTTACCCTCAAAGGATCCTAAAAAAGAACAAACAAAGTCTCCCAGTCAAGTCAACAGCTTGACCAGTCCTTTAACTAAGCAAGCTGTGGAAATGCTGTATGATATTCAAAGGCATAGCCCCACTAGTAAGCTATCTGAAAATGGGGAACTGCCAGTACCCCGGACGCCTTCAGGTACTAGTGACAGACATTCAGATGATACCTTTGATATAAGGACCCCAACCTGTAAAAGGTATAGTGAAGATAGTACAACACCAAGGATCATGGTTCCTCCAGCTACTCCTGATTTGCCGGCTTGTAGCCCAGCAAGCGAAACGGGTAGTGAAAACAGTGTTAGCATGGCTGCCCACACTTTGATGATACTTTCACGCGCTGCTATTGCAAGGACTAATACAACTACTCCACTGAAGGACAATACTCAACAGTTTAAGTCTTTAAGAAGTGCAGCTAAAAAAAGAAAGCAGGAAGACTCAGTTGATCGTGAAAAGAATTCCAGGACTCCCAGTAAAAAGGATATTCAGAACTTTGCATTGCCAATAAAAAAAAAAAAGATAAAGGTAAGCAGGGTTTTTTTTATTTAACAGCATGACATTATTTCTATAAGTTTTTAAGAAGAGACTGGGCAGCCATTTGTCCGAAATGGTGTAGGGTTTCCTGTCTGAGCAGGGGGTTAGACTCGATGACCTCCAAGGTCCCTTCCAACTTATTATTATATTAATTATGTATAGAACAGTGGTTCTCAACCTTTGGGTCGGGACCCCATTTGGGGTCGAACGACCATTTCACGGGGGTCGCCAAACCACGCTGTCTGCCATTTTTTTCCCTTTTCCCTAGCTGACCTACTCCCTCTTATTGGTGGCCACACCCACTTGGTCACCACAACATGGGGAACTGTATTATGGGATCACGGCATTAGAAAGGTTGTGAACCACTGGTATAGAAGAATAGCAACTAATCCCTCATTTTGCCCTTGAGTGCCTTTGAGTCATAGTTTTCATCGCAAGATTTTAGAAGTGGTTTGCCCTTGCTTTCTTCCTAGGGCTGAGAGAGTGGGACTGGACCAAGATCATCCAGTTGGCTTCATGCTTAAGGCAGGATTAAAATTCATGGGGTTCTGGTTTCTAGCCCAGTGCCTTAACCATTGCACCAAATTGGCTCAATTAATCCCTGAACAGCCAATATTGAGGACCATCCCTTCCCAGTGTATTCTACCATGTGGACAAGAAACATTTTCCCTGTAATTCCTACTTGTATTCATGTACTTTGGGGAAGAAAATCCTCCTCTTGACTTTGTCACTGTTTATGGCATACATCCTTCCTCTTTTCTATCCATTAAGATAGGCCATTTTCAGGATAAGGATTTGACCAAGACAGGACTAAAAGTAACTCCTTCCTAAAAGAAGTAAAAAAAAATATGATAATTTTGACACAAGAATGTTTACTTATAGTGGTAGTATTCTATACCATCACCCCTTGGTATGAAGCAGCTGTTTACTAAACTGGCTTGCTGTTTATGATACTTACAATAGTGCTTAAGGCTAAACCTTAATTCTTAAAATCTTAAAATCTGCAACTAGTTTAGCGTCTGTAAGGGAGCCTGCTGTTTATCTCCTATTAAGAATGGCTCCCTGTGTTACCTGGCAAACATCTTACAGAATGAGGCATGAGGCAGTTTTACTATCAGAAGAAAAAGTTTGATACTCTTGCATCAGTCAGGATTGTAGGTGGGAGCTTAAATGATCTGTTCTATGGAGATTTTACCCATAAATTAATACTGAGTCAAGTCCTGCAGAACTAAAGAGACTAAAGAACCTTCATTGGCCATAAAATATTTTATTTTTCAGCAGAAGAAATTACCAATTGCCTTTCCTGCAGAAATGGATGTGGATAAATTTTTATTATCATTGCATTATGATGAATAAATGCCAGCTGTATTCAAGCACAGATGTTCTTCAGCGCGATGGAGAAAAGAGAACAAGTTTAGGATTATATTGCATAATCCATTAAAATTCAACTTCTGAAACAAAAATCACCCTGGATCTAAAGAACTTAATGGATGTTTTCTGAGTGAGCCTTTAAAGGTTCTATGTTAAATTTGTAGCTTATTTTGTCATGTAATTATTGTACAGATTTTCAAGTTGTAAAAGAACAAAATGCTACTTTTATTAACACCAGGTGTTGACTATGTTTTTCTAGAATTGTTTTAGCAGGTTTTCATGGTGTCAAACACCTCTTATCCTAAAGATGCCTAGAACCAAGTCCGCTGAATTGTGGAGTATTTTTAGATTGTGTGCCTAGGATTGAACCACATGGTTTAATCAAAGCAAACTTCATATAATTGGATTTGGATGAATAGACTTACTATATATACTTGCAGATAATCTGAGAATTTACAGTAGGTGCCAAAAAAACACCCCAAGAATTGGGTTCAGCTTATCCATGAGTATATACTGTAATGAAAGCCTTAGCTGATTTTGTATTGAGAACTCTTTCCTATTTTCTTTTGTCTGTTTTTTTCCCTTTAGTTGTAATCTATCATAATAAATAGTTTTCAACTCTTATTATACATAGATATTTTAATAGACTTCTCATTTGCACAATATAATTTATTTAGGGATATGTTTTTTGCCCTTAGGGATACAGATTCAATTTTGATAAAACCTTGCTTAACTTGTTTAAGCAAGTGAATATTTAAATATATATCCTGAAGATGTGACACCATTTGCAGTAGTGGGCATCCCACACAATTAGAACAGCATGAATGGGAAAGCAGAACTGCTCAAAGTATAGATCTTGGCGCATGCTGCACAACCCTCCACCTATGTCCTTGCAGGAGAAGGAATCCTCTTAGGAATCTTTCTACTCAGTCTCTCATATAATGTAAAATCCTCATTTCCCTGGTTTTAAATTGTAAGGATTAGACTAAGGTTCTCTCTTTTTTAGCCTCAAGTATATCAAGAAGGTAATAGCAGTAACAACTTTGCATTCAATTGAAACTACAAGGATATTTTAAATATAGATCAGGTTCATTTTGCCTGATAGTTGGCTATTTATAATCAACATCTACCAGATATTTAAAAATGACTCTACCAAGAATTCAAAAATAGCGTTCCAGCTGTTTAACAATTCAATCTGTGTACTTCCACACATGAAAATATTTTTCAAGAGGTTTTAGAGTAGCAATACAAAGACCTGTTTCATATCTCACAGTGGACAGCATGCTGTCTTCAACCTAATTTTAATCTTTCACTGAAAAAATCTTATCAAAGTTTGCATAACCAAAAGAATATTGTTGTACCTGTTAAAAATTGAAACCCTGCTTCTGCTTTCTTTTGCTATACTGAAACATATATGAGGATGAATGACCAAAGTAGCTAAGTAACAGTTCATCACTGTTTTTTTTATGGGCAATCCTATATAAATCAGATTGGAACTGTGCTGCACAGAAGCCATCTATGGATATAAAATCTTAATTGCTCTTTTAACTCTTGCTTATAATTCAATTGCCATCCAACTATCTGGAATTATTTTTCTAGAATGTGATTTGCTATTACAAGTTGAAAAGTTTTCCTTTACTTTTCTCAGTTACAACTATAAGCAAGTACATACAGGTAAACTTTCAGAAGAGCTGCAATACTTAGAGTGACAAAGATTGTTTTTCAATTTTTCAGTTATACTCTAACTTCAAAATGCTAATTTTTAAAAACTTGATACTCACATAACACAAGGTGTAATTGGCTTAAGTCCCTGAGCCAGAATAAGAAACCAATTCATTATTGTTGTATGGTAAATATTTATTCAGTAGCCCTTCTTGTTTTGTTTCTACCAATTGTGGAAACATAATCCAGTATTACTTTTATACTATCTTCCTCCAAACAAGCAGTAGTTTTCTGGGCAAAAATACATATGGCACAACCCACTGCCTTCATTTTAGGAGGCTAAGGGAGAAGAGCAAAAGAATGCCTACAATTCAGTGATGAGAGCAGGACAATATAAAGTATGATAAGTATCTAAAGTAGTTATGATATCTGCAGCGTTGGGTGATAATTAACATGTTTTACTGTCCAAGATATAAAAAAAAACATTTTGCATTAAAACATAATAAAAAGACATAATTTCATTTAACAGTGGCAGACTGAAATGATCCTCTCTACTGCAGTTCCAGTCATGGTTGTAACAGCTATGAATAAGTTGGGCTTTGAGCTTGAGATCAGAACCTATAACTTTTGGATCAGTATTGCAGATGCCCCACCACCACCATTGCAAATCCCAGCAAGGCCATGTTCTCCTTGCTTCAAGGCATGAGCCATGTGAACAACTATTCTTGCACCAGACATCCTGAAAGAGAGAAAAGAAAAGAGTTTCAAGTCAGAATACAGTCTTTGCTTAGCTTTTTCAGTTTATGGTGTGTAAACAGGTGCTTTTATTCAGTTTAAGTATATACTTCCCACAAAGAGTTTAATTCCGTTCAACCTCCTTTCTCTCACAAAGGTGTTTAACAATGTATGTTAGGCCCCAGGAGGAAAAAATGAGATGCAGGTATGTCAAAAGGAAAGATAGAGAGAGGGGAATAAAGATTACTATGCTAAAGCTATTAAGTCAGAGTTGTAGAATGACAGGGCATAGGAGCCCTAAAATAAAACCGCTTTGTATTGGGTGAGATTACTGCTTTATCTAACGCAGTACTGAATAGTCTGAAAAAACAATGATTCTCAGATAACTCGTGTATACTGCAACCATGTTCCAAGCCGAGATACACTAGAGCGGGAGTGAAGAACCTACAGCTACTAGATTCCTATTATCATCTCAAGCGGCAAGTTCAAAGACTTAAGATCAAAGATGCAGCCTAAAAATCTTTGGAAGGTCATAGCTCTCCAACAAAGATCATTCAACTGCTTTTGAGTTCAAAGACAAAGTCTAGCAAGTAATGGTCAATGTTCTTAATATTCTACTAGTTTTCCCAACTAAGTTCAGCACAATCGGGAACTTTATTTTCCAATACACCTTGAAATATTTTAGGATATATGCAGCCTGCTACTGTCCAATCTTTCAGGACTACATCTCCCATAATTACTAGTTAATTGTCACTACTGATGGGGGCAAATGCAATTTCGTGGTAGAAACATTTGGAGGCACCAGGTTGCCTAATCTCTAAAAGATATTTAAATCTGAGTAAGTTTGTGAATATTTGTTGTGTAACATTTTACAATATGCTAAGAACAAGTATGTAATACGAGTTGTACTTCAAATGTTGCTCAGAGATAAATTCAGTATAAGACATGCTAATTGTCACTTATACAAATACATTGCAAGGCTCCCAATACAAACCCAGTGGAGGTCTCTTATATTAAAGAGTCTTTTGAGAGAGGCAGGGGACTTCAGGGAGATGGGCGGTTCAAAAATGTGAAATAAATCATGTGATTATATTTTGGGCACTTGACCACAATTTATGAAGTTTTTTTGCTGGAAATACATTTACCTCAAGTTTTTTTTTTCCAAAAAGCACCCGTTGGCTAAAAAAACACCACAAAAAAGATTGCAAAATTAGATGCATTCACGTGGTTAACCACTTAACAACTAGCATGACTTATGACTGGGGTCAATTACAGTTGTATGTTAAGGTCTACTTATACAGGGATCGGTTATTTCCCACCACCAGTTAATGTATTTTTTTTACTTACCCAATTGGATGTCCCAAAGAAACTGCTCCTCCGTGAATATTTACCTTCTGTGGATCAATGTCTAGCATTTTTATGTTAGCTAAGACAACAACACTGAATGCTTCATTGATTTCCCACATATTAATATCTTCCTTTTTGAGTCCTGCCTGAGCAAGTACCTGAAGGGAAAAATACCATTGGTATGTATGTACAGATAACATTTATATTATTTGCTGTACTACCAGAATTTTATGAGCAGATCAGGACACACCCACACAGAAGTAAAAAGCAGAAAAGATGAAACAAAAACTCATAACCTCGAAGCTAAAAACACAGATTCTGAAAGATAATTACAAGGGGAAAAATAGAATCATTTAAAAAAAAAAGCTGAAAACCACATAAACATAGCTCTGAGGTATAGAGCTATACACCATCTATCTATGCTGAAATCCATTACTTTTTAAAACTAGGTAGTCGGAAGAAATCCTCACTCTTGCAAAATTGCCAAAATCTGTGAGGATATAGTTCAATTACAATAAGGGAATTCAGGTGGCCCTCACTTAAAAACTGCTCATTCGGCAACTATTCAAACTTACAATGGCACTGAACAAGTGGCATTTATGACCAGTCCTCAAGGTGTCCCAGTGGTCATCTGATCACAATCAAGGGGCCAGTGACCAGCTTGCCATTACAACTTGGCAGCATCCCACAGTCCCCATGATCGCTCCATTTGTGACCTTCACTGCTGACTTCCAACAAGCAAAGTCAATGGGGAAGCCAGCAGGTCAAAAATGGTGACCACAAGATGTCTTGCATAACAACAGTGTAGGATTCACTTAACAATGGCAACTTTATTATTTTATTATTATTTATTATTCCAGTTGTTCAAATACAATCTGCCATTAATTTCTCCAAAACTAACCAGAACTAAAATGCAATGGCTCACTCAATGCCAAACCACCAACACAAAGTAGTTAATTATTTTGATTTGTTTTTAAACTTAAGCAGATAATCCACTTGAGAAATTAATTTTAAATTCCATTAATATTTCCACTGAAGACTAAACGCAGAATTAAATGAGCAACTAAATGAAGGTAGAACAATGGTAGAGATGGTCACCTTAGGAACAGCATGTGCTGGTGCAATGGGAAAATCAATAGGATCAACAGCAGCATCTGCAAAACCTGCAAGAACAGAAACATGAATTAGAAAAAATATTTTGTTAAATGTGCTTTGATTACTCTTAATATTGAATTTTATTCTGGCAACGATTCCTCTATCAAGAGCACAATTTCAGAGATCATTTCTTAAAACAGGTCCCCAATCTATGGGCCGCAGCCTGGTACCGGGCCACGGTCTCTTGGCCAGTGGGCCGCAGAAATAGCTGGCCAGGGCACACATGTGGGTGCACATTCCCCCCCCCCACGCGCTAGCACCCACGGCCGTTTGCTCATGCATGCGGGCTCAAACAGAAACACTAGTGGGGGGTATGTGCAGCCCATTTGGACATGCGTGAATGGGTACTAGTCACCGCGGGGGTGCATGGCTGTTTGCGCATGGCGCCAGCACATGTGCGAGCATGGCTGCTAGTACTGCACCAGTGGGCGTGGCCCTGTTTGTGTGCGTGCCCACGCATGCAGTAATTTGGAAGCTGCTCTCTCCTCCGGGTCGCAAGCCTAGAAAGGTTGGAGAACTCTGCCTTTAAAGATACTTTAAAAAGTCCATGTGAGAAAAGTGCACTGAAAGGTTCCAAAGCCTCTTTTTTTTTTTTTAACTTTGGCTTTTGGCAAAATTCCAGTTTGTTGAAAGCGCTTGATCAAAAATGGGTCCTACCTAATCTACAGAGAAAACAAAATGAGAAGAAGTCTGTCATCCACCATCAGTCTTACTCAGGGAAATATATACATACGACAATTTCACCAAAGGGAAGGACAATCCTCACCTACTATTCTTGCCAATGGCTTCACATTCAGTCTTTTGGCTGCTTCTGAAGTCATCAGTACCAAAGCAGCTGCTCCATCATTTAGCGTACTAGCATTGGCAGCTGTGACTGTTCCTGAAAAAAATTCATTAGGGAAAAACAATTTTCTAGGAAGAACAATTTAAGTACAATGCATTCTTCTACAATGGTGCTTCCCAAATTTGGGTAAATTAAACAAAATTGGCTAGAGAGAAGTTCCCAGATGATGGGGGATCCAGCACAAGTCCAAAAGCTCGGAAGAAAAAACCTCTAGTCCCGGTGACCAACCCAGATTGGATCCTGTAACCAAAATTGGGTAAAAGTGGTTTTTCTTTGGGTAACGACACACAAACCCATTATCCAATCACAGCAGGGATGTATAAATAAGGGCCTTCTGTTAAGTGGCTTTGAGTAATAAAGGAAAAAATTGAGAAGCACTATCTTATAGTGTTATTGATTCCTACATTACCCGGTGTCAAATGATGGTCATAAAATCTACAGTAGCCTAAATCCAACATAGCTGGCATAATCTTAAATTAAACAAGCATGGAGGTGGTGGGTAGCCCTGTGGGCAGGGGAGAAGAGCGGGGGGGGGCGGTTTTGGGGCACTCAGTCTCTAAAAGGTTCGCCATCGCTGACCTAGAGCCTGTTGTTGAGGAAGGTGTGTGTTGCAATAAAATATTCTGCTTTATTTGCTACATTGTGGTGTATCCAGTCCTTGGAGAACAAAGAACCCTCATATGGACTCAATTTCAGTTCTGATGAGTGCACCATTAAGAGACTTGGTTAGGGATAGACCATCATGGAGAAGATTTATCAGTATCAGACCTGGGCATTTTGCAGCCCGCAGGCAGTCCTGATCTGGCCCGCTGTTGGGGGCAGGGATTAGGAGCCACATGAATGGAGAGCAGGGCAGCAGTGCAGGAGTGGCAGTGGGCCAGATGGGCAGTGGCCTGTGGCCTGTAGCCCCTTGGGAAAATTAATTGCCCACCCCGATCTCTATGCTCGCTTTGAATTGAAAATGATCTGACGGCACATAATTAATCAATCAGAAATGCAGGTATATAAAATTAAAATGCAAATAATCAAATCTGAAATAAATTTTAGCACATTAAAAATGGATATCAAAACTTACCATTTTCTTTTTGGAAAACTGCCTTCAATTTTGGAACTTTACTAAAGTCAACACGCTTATATTCCTCATCTTCTTTAACCTCTGTGTCTGGTTTCCCTAAAGTAAGATTCTGATTAGTAAAAAAAGATTTGAAATGTTGACCTCAAAGTCCAATCCAGCACTGCAAACTGCTGTCAGTGACCTGCTGGGTTTTAAAATTTTCTTATTTTTCCAAAGGACAGCTGAACATAGAACGATCTTTTGCGTCATCTCATTTCTTGCACTTTCCATTGCTCTAGCTCAGTGGTTCTCAACCTTCCTAATGCCGCAACCCTTTAATACAATTCC